GCAGGCATGGCATATTCTCGACACCATAGGGGGTGCGCAAGGGGTGGTCTCTTACCGCGGCCGCTATCCGTGACGGTCGTCCAGGGCACAGCAGGCATGGCATATTCTCGACACCATAAGGGGGGCGCAGGGGGTGGTCTCTCACCGCGGCCGCTATCCGTGACGGTCGTCCAGGGCACAGCAGGCATGGCATATTCTCGACACCATAAGGGGGTGCGCAGGGGGTGGTCTCTCACCGCGGCCGCTATCCGTGACGGTCGTCCAGGGCACAGCAGGCATGGCATATTCTCGACACCATAGGGGGTGCGCAGGGGGTGGTCTCTCACCGCGGCCGCTATCCGTGACGGTCGTCCAGGGCACAGCAGGCATGGCATATTCTCGACACCATAGGGGGTGCGCAGGGGGTGGTCTCTCACCGCGGCCGCTATCCGTGACGGTCGTCCAGGGCACAGCAGGCATGGCATATTCTCGACACCATAAGGGGGTGCGCAGGGGGTGGTCTCTCACCGCGGCCGCTATCCATGACGGTCGTCCAGGGCACAGCGGTATCGGCGGGGCAACGGCCACCAACATCATTCTCACATGCTTCACTTCAGCTGTAATCTCTCCAGCCATCATATAAGTATGTGGGGTTCCTCGGTAGCGTAATGAACCTCCGGCTTCTGTCCATTCAGAGTCCCATGATAACTTCGATGTGACTTTACCTAAATATGTTGGTTGTGGAATGTTTGTCGGACTGTAGGAGGGTTCGTGGCTGGTGCGCGGGTCGCCCGAGTTGCCTTTTCAGACGAAGTCCCAGTCGTGTTGTCGGCATAATTAGCTGGAGCGGGTTTCCCTCGTCAAAATAAGATGCCGGAGCCTACGCCGAGGGCAACTGAAACCATTGCCCAAGAGCTGGGTGCTGGAGCCCACGTGTCTCGACGGCATAATCTGCTGGAGCCACTTTCCCTCTTCAGAATTGCATGCGGAAGCCCACGCCGTGGGCTGCTGGAGCCATTATCACTCGTTGATTGGGTGTTGGAGCCCACCCTCCTTGACGGCGTAATCGTAACCTGTTGGAACCACTGTCCCTCGCAACAAATGCAGAAAATGAGCGCTGGAGCCACACCCCGCTTAGGTTGTTTTATATTCTTTAACATATAGACAAGGTCGGGGGGGGGGGTACGGGTTCCAGGGCTGGGTGTCCTAGCATTGTAGTAGTCACGCATCGCCTTCAAGAAGCGGGGGCAGTCCGCGAATGCCTGCGCGTGTGCGCGTTCGTGCGCGCGTGCGCCCGCGCGCAAGCTTGGGCGGGAGCGCGAGCCCGGGCCTGAGCGCGAGCCCCACCCCGAGCCCGAGCGCGAGCTTGAGCCCGAGCCTTGGCCCGAGCCCTGTCCTGAGCGCGTGCGCGCGCACGTGCGCGTTCGCGTGCGCGTGTGTGCGTGTGCGTGCACGCGCTTCCGACACGTTGATATGCGCTCAAACATCTCCCTACCAACATTATTCATTTCACTGTGGGGAGAAGGACGGCCGCCTGGACGGAGGAGGCATGACGGAGGAGGGAGGAGGAGGGAGGAGGAGGAGGAGGAGGAAGCAGGAAAAGGGACAAGGGATGACGGAGGAAGAGCAGGGAGGGGGTACGACCTGGAGGAAGAGGAAGGACAGGGAAGCGGCCTGCTCACCGCCTGCCTCTCTGTGAGTTGTCGTCGGTGCTGTCCCTCATCGTATCCGCCGCCGTCGTCGTCGTGCTCGTCGTCCATTCGGATTCGCTCTGATACCCAGACGATCACGGCCAGACGCTCACAGCGGGACATGCCAGGAAATGAGATGCACATGTGGGGATCTCAATCACTGCGACTCTCATGATCGAAGACGCCTACGGCGAATCACCGCCGCCCCCTGCCTTTTTGGAAGCGCCTATGTGGCCGAACGCTGAGGCCAGACCTGCCCAGCCATCGGACCATGTGTTCCCCGAATCGGTTTGGAAAGCCTTCGGGGAACACGTGGGACTTGAAGGTCATCTTGGCCGTTTTGGAGGCCTCTTGGGCGATCTTTTGGCGATCTTTGGGGGCTCTGGGGCCGTCTCGGGCCGTCGGAATGCCGAAAAGAAGGAAATGCCCAAATCCGTCAAAAACCTAGGGACAATCAATGTTTTTGGCCTATTTTGGCCTTCCTGGAGGCCCTCTTGGGGGCCTCTTGGGCCGTCTTGGGCCAGCTTCGAGCCAACTTCGGCCATCTTGGTGGGTTCCTGGCACATCTGACGTCGTCGGGAGCCGTCTTGGGAGCCTTTCTGGGCCAACGGGGGACCCTCTTGGGGCGCTTCGGGGCCGTCTTGGAGGCCATCTTGGGCGTCTTGGAGGCCATCTTGGGCGTGTTGGAGGCCATCTTGGGCCGTCTTGGGGTCGTCTTGGGGCCGTCTTGGGGCCATCTTGGAGGCCACTTGGGCCGTCATGGGGCCCACTTGGGGGCCTCTTGGGCGATCTTGGGGCCTCTTGGGCCGTCTTGAGCCGTCGGAATGCAGAGAACAAGTAAATTCCCAAATCCTTCAACAACCTACGGTAAACCACTGATTTTGGCCTCTTCGGGCCCTCCTGGAGGACCTCTTGGAGGCCTCTTGGGCCGTCTGGGCCTCTTGGGCCGTCTTGGGCCGTCTTGGGCCGTCTTGGACTCTCTTGGGCCGTCTTGGAGGCCGTCTTGGACCATCTTGGGCGGACTTGGAGGCCATCTTGGACCATCTTGGAGGCCATCTTCGACCATCTTGGCCATCTTGGAGGCCATCTGGGAGTGTTTCCGAATCGGTTTGGAAAGCCTTCGGGGAACACGTGGGCGTCTTTAAGGTCATCTTGGCCGTCTTGGAGGCCTCTTGGGCGAACTTTCGGCGATCTTTGGGGGCTCTGGGGCCGTCTCGGACCGTCGGAATGCCGAAAAGAAGGAAATGCCCAAATCCGTCAAAAACCTAGGGACAATCAATGTTTTTGGCCTCTTCTGGCCTTCCTGGAGGCCCTCTTGGGGGCCTCTTGGGCCGTCTTGGGCCAGCTTCGAGCCAACTTCGGCCATCTTGGTGGGTTCCTGGCACGTCTGCCGTCGTCGGGAGCCGTCTTGGGAGCCTTTCTGGGCCAACGGGGGACCCTCTTGGGGCGCTTCGGGGCCGTCTTGGAGGCCATCTTGGGCGTCTTGGAGGCCATCTTGGGCGTGTTGGAGGCCTCTTGGGCCGTCTTGGGGCCCTCTTGGGGCCATCTTGGAGGCCACTTGGGCCATCATGGGGCCCTCTTGGGGGCCTCTTGGGCGATCTTGGGGGCCTCTTGGGCCGTCTTGAGCCGTCGGAATGCCGGAAGAAGCAAATTCAAAAATCCTTCCGAAACCTATTGAAAATCAATGATTTTGGCCTCTTCGGGACCTCTTGGAGGCCTCTTGGGCCGTCTGGGAGGCCTCTGGGGGGCCCTCTTGGGCCGTCTTGGGCCGTCTTGGACTCTCTTGGGCCGTCTTGGAGGCCGTCTTGGACCATCTTGGGCGGACTTGGAGGCCATCTTGGACCATCTTGGAGGCCATCTTGGGCCATCTTGGCCATCTTGGAGGCCATCTTGGAGCCGTCTTGGAAAAATCCCGGGACCCCGGCGGGACGGGCCGAAGCCCCAGGGGGAGTTCTTTTGGAAAAAGAACCAACACCAAAACCGAGAGGATCTAGCATGCCAGGCACCCCTGCGATGAATCGACAAGGGGCGGCGGATCATTGCAATTCAATGGCTTCCGGCCCATGCCACCACCGTGGTTTGCACCGTGGGCAAAGGGCCACCTAGAAGCCCCTTTGGGCTCTGGGCGGGTCTCTCGGAATCCTTTTTGGGATCCCTTGGAGGCCTATTGGAGGTCGGGGCCTCTTGGAGCCTCCGGGGGGGCCTCCTGCTGGCCTCCTGGGGACCTCCTCGCGGTCTCGAAGGCCATCTTAGAGGAAAGGGGTCGCAATGTCAGTTCGTGGCGTCTTGGGGGCCTCCTGGGCCCTCTTGGGGGCCCCGAGCCGTTTCGAGGCGAGGCCTCTTGGGTCGCATGGGACGCCCTTCAGCCCGAGAAGGCCAGATTGCAACATCACAAGTATCACTCAAAGTTTGGTCGATAATGTTAACCTCTTAGATTCGTCCCCAGAGCCTCCATGACGGCCGAAGGTGCTCCTGAGGGGGCTCTGGGATGGACCTCCCCGGGACCATATTAGGCCATGCTGGAAGTGTACGTTCCAAGCCACGCTCTCAAGGCCTCACCATGCTGGAGAACAATCATAAAGTTCAAGATCGCCAAGAGCACGAGGGTTGGGCACCCCAACAGAGCTTTTTAAAACATCAAGTGCAGAACTCGAATGGATCTCAGGGCCCTCCAGTCAGTGCCTGCGCTACGAAGGTGGAGTTGCATGTCTGCTGCATCTACGACTATTTCTTTAATTGTTTATGCGATCCGGGGTTGTACTATGATCTTGCCAGTGCTCGTACAGTTTCTGTTGCTACAGTTGTTTGACTTGCCATCGGTGATACTAGTGCCGCCGCCTGTGGCCACCGACCGCCACTGACGAATGCCCCGCGATAGACGCCTCTCGCTCGCTCTCCGCCGATGAGGGCCAACGTCCATTCGGTGACGTCCGACGACGACTGGGCCCCCCCGCTCTACCTCTGCCTGGCCGCCCTTGCGTGCCGCTCTCGCTTCCGCTCCCCTCATTGCCTCGTGTCGGGGCCAATATTTCCGCCGAGCATTGTCGGGGGTTTGGCCATGCTTGCGCCGATGCTGGGATCTGCTCTGATCTGCGAGTGGCCCGGCCCGAGTGAGATGCCGCCCGTGCCCTCTGCATCCGGCTCCCCCTCTCCGAGGATACCTGAGGTGCCTGGCCCGCAAAAGCAAGACAGGCCAGATGAAGCTCCTCCTCCTCCTCCTCCTCCTCCGTAGCCAGTTTGGCTCAAGCCATTTTGGTATCAGGGTCGCCAGCCTCCTCGATGTGCCCGTCGAGCTCACCGCCTGTCGCCATCAGATTGCAAGTGTAGGAGATGGCTAGGGGGCAGGTCGCCGCTGGATGTCCGCTTGTGTCAGTGGCTACTTCAGATCACTCGATGGAGTCAGAGGCAATGGTGCGCAGGGACAGGAAGGAGGAGAAGGACACCGACGCCATCCTCGATGGCCCAGAACCAAAGCTGGCTCACCGCGTTGGCGCGCTCATGGCGATTGCTGTGGCTCTCTTTGTCCTTAGCGCCTTCGGTGTATGGCTAGTCTCTGGACCAGGCGCTGGCGCCAACGCCAACGCCGACGCCAGCACCGACAGCTCCCTAGAAAGTGCCGCCGTTCGTGTCTCCCAGCGTGATGGCTCGACAGGATCACACTTTCATGACCGTGTTGACGGCAGCACCAAACGCGTTAGCGAGACGGCGAGCGATGGCCCTGGCGCTGCTGGAGGCAGAAGTGCTTGCGACGATCCGCCGTGCACCTCACAGAGCTGGAATGTATGGCGCAACGTGCAGAATGAACTCGACAGTGCCTATCTTGCCATGCCCTGGGTCACGTCCACGACGACAACTATCTCGACCACGACCACGACCACGACAACGACAACCTGGTGCATGGATGCCATCGAGGGAGATGCCTGCTACAGGGAAGTTGTGGAGGCGATGCATGCGATCCATGTCGACCCGAACTCATTCGAAGGCTTGAATGTGTGGTCTTCTTTCGAAGAGGTGCAGGATTATCTGTACCACCAGAGCTTCGGTGCGATCGGCAACGAGAGCGGCGGGTCCAACGCGACTGCTTGCTGGAAGAGTTGCCCATGCCAGACGGCGAGAGCTGGCACATAATGCTTCGACCAAGTCACTTGGTTTGCGAATGAGCTGTACGCCAAGGACCCTGGCACCTTCCCGGCCTTGACCGAGTTCAGTCCGCTCGAGCAGTTTCAAATGCATCTTTGGAATAGCACGGAAAGCATCAGCAACCAGAGTGTATGTTCGAAGCCGTGCATGGTTTCTTGGCGAACGGACACGCCACTTTTCTGTTGGTCCGTCTCCCGCAGGTGGGAATACGAAGCAGACATCATGAGGTCCCAACTCTCCAACGGTGCGGGTATCTTCGCGTGCGACAGCTTCGCGGTATTGAGCGAGGAGAACTGGACCGTGGGCCGCGGCCCCGGCGAACGCATCGGAGAGGTAAACACGGTGGTCTTCCAGGGCGCGCCGGTGGGCCAGTCGAAGGACGGCACTGCTGGGAATGCAGAGTTGTTCATCCACGCCTGGGATGCCCTGATGACGAAGACTTTTGCTCTGCAGTACGACTTCGTGGTGAAGGTTGACCCCGATGCTATCATCGTTGCGGACAGGCTCAGAGACCATCTGAGGCCGTACGTTTGGCAGCCCGCCTATATCAGGAATTGCAACGCCTGGCCAGGCGACTCAGACTTTCCCATGATGTTCGGTGCTCTGGAGGCGATTTCGAAAGAGGGGCTCAGGATGTACAAAGACAACATGTGGCGCTGCCAGACAGACTTCGACTCTTGGTGGCGGTCATGGGGCGAAGACCTTTTCATGCACAAGTGCCTGCGGCATCTCGGAGTCGGCCCAAAAGATGACTTCAGCATCATCGGCGATGGTCTGTGCAAAAAAGACAACAATTGCGCCAACTCGGGGTTCGCGGCCTTCCACCCTTTCAAGTGGGCGGATGGGTGGATGAATTGCTGGTGGACGGCAACGTCTCAGGGCGTGCCGAAGCCAGGGCTGCCAGAGCTCTGAGGAGCATGTGGCTTGCACACGTGGGTGTCCCACGAATTCGTGTGCTCGAGTGATTGGGTCTCACTAGTTCCGCCGAAGGTGCAGCTTTTCCAATGTTTGACCCTGGGCAGGTCGGCTTAAAATTCGGTGATCCTTTGAGAATTGAGGCGCAGTGGCCTGCGATACTAATGACACGTCCGTTCGCAGCTCGACTTGAAACCAGGTGCACAGGCTGTTTGGTGGATGCAGTCAGTTTCACTGATTCTAGACGCTTCGCGTATCCCAACCAGCCGGCCACCCTGGTTCTTTCGGAGTAGTCCGGGGGCTCGCGCCCTTGCACCTAATTCCCATCTGCAGCTCTCCCTGGTTGCCGGTTACCCTGGCCGCCCGCTGCTCCGACCAGTTGCACGCGACTTCGGCAGTACTGGTGACCCGCCTACCGCCTGCCCTGTCCACTCGACGGCTCGCCGCTGAGGTGCTGCGTGAGGCTCCGGCCCACCGCTTTAGGTTAGTTCGTTTGTGCGCGCCCCGCTCTGACTGGACTCGCCGCTGGCGCGCTCGCCTGCGGCCGCTGACTAAAAAAGTATCCCCACTAGGCCCAATTCGACCTCCCACAGTCGGTTCACTTGGCTGCGGCCACCCTGGTACCTTCGTAGTAGTCTGGGGGCTTGCACCCTTGCAATTAATTCCCGTCCGCAGCTTTCCACGGTCGCCGGTTACCCTGGCCGCCTGCTGCCTCCGACGCGTTGCATGTGTGCACCCTGGCAGTATTGGTATCCAGCCTACCGCCAGCCTTTTCCTCTCGCCGGCCCGCCTCCGAGGTGCTGCGTGAGGCCCCGGCCCACCGCTTTAGGTTAATTCGTGTTTGCGCGCCCCGCTCTCTTTGGACTCGCCGCTGGCGCGCTCGCCTGCGGCCGCTGACAAAAAGTATCCCAACCAGCCGCTGTTCTTTTTTCGGCTTCTCGGTCGCTGCGCGCGGTTTGCCCCGTTCCCGGCCGCTGCTTCTTAGGTCTTCGCTGAATCTTATTGACGGCGCGCGGCTCCTCCGCTTGCGCTCTCGAACAAGAAAGTATCCCAACCAGCCCATTCAGAAACGATGCCTAGGCGAGTTGCCCTGATCAGAGATGTGGAGGAGCATGCCGCGGAATAAGGGGTTGGGGGAGCCGTCATACCTCAAGCGGGGGAGGATGAAGGAGGAATTGGAGGCGGAGGAGAGGGAGGGGGAGGGAGGGGCTGAGGACGGAGGAGGGGCGATGCGGAATAGGCGGGTGAGGAAAAGGAGGGCCAGGAGGAGAAGAAGGAGGGCGAAAAGAAAGGCCAGAGGCCTCTTTGATGCCTCGGGGTCTCTTCGGGCGTTTCGTGAAAGTTTCTTGGAGGCCTCTTGGGGCGTCCTGGGGGTCTCTTGACGGCCCTGGGGGCTTCCTGGAGCGTCTTGGGTTCCTTGGGGGAGCCTCTTGAGGGTTTCTTGGGGGCCTTTTTGGGTCCTCTCGGGGCCTCCTGGGCGCCTCTTGGGGCCCTCTTGGGGCCCTCTTGGGAGCCTTGGGGGCCATCTTGGGGTAGATCGAACAAAGCAGGGGGTACAGAAAATCAGCGCCGCCCCCCGAGGAGGCCCGAATGAGACCAAAACCTTCATCAGAGCGAGAGGACCGAACGGCCGCTCACTGCTCCTGAGCACGTGGCTAAGGTGAGGTTCCGCGGTGCGGATTGTTGAATTCTTATTTCCAAAGAGTAAGAATTGTTGACCCCCCCCCCTTTGCCGTCCATGGCATTTGTTTCAATAGTGTGTTCTTCCGGGGGCTCCCAAAAGCGCCTCTAGATGGCCCCAGGAAAGGCCCCAAGAGGCGCCCAAGAGGCCTCCAAGAGGCTCCCAACAGACCCCCAAGAGTGTTGAGAGGCTCCCCGAGGCACCCACAACGCGCCACGAGAACCCCAAAACGGCCCCAAGAGCGCCCAAGAGTGTCCCAGGAGCACTCAAGAGGGACCCTTCCTCTGTGTGCTGCCCACTTCCCTGATCGAGGCAACTCCTCTGGGCATCGTCTCTGGAAGGGCTGGCGAGGTTACTTATTTTGATCGCGACCGCGAGCGGGCACCCGCGCGGCGTCGGAAAGGTCGTGCTACGAGCGGAGGCCAGTGGGCACAGCGCAACTGTCGCCGGCCAGACGCGGGAAAAAGGTGCAAGGCCACTACGCATAGGCAGCGCGAGAGCGGCGAAAACGAGGCGAAGCAGGAGAGAGCAACACGAGAGAAGAAGACAAACGAAAGGAACGACGGCGAGAGGGGAACCGAGGGAGCGGGAAGAAGAAAAGAACAGCCGCAGCTCAGAAGCGGAACGAGTAGGGGATCACCCTGACCTTGCTGTACTCCATGTACTTGCCGTAAGTAGGCGACAGATGAAGTCAAAACCAATCCAGTCATCGGATGCCGATGCCTCGTAATGACCAGGTGACCGCAGAGCCCAGGAGTGGACAACGGCAGCACGAGCAAGTGGAAGCCCGACAGGGCCTTCACTGAAGATCAAGTAGCAGTACCCACGGCCGTCTCCAGTGCCATCGCGAGGCCGACTGGGGGGACCTACCGCCCCGCGTGCCCCGGGGGGGTCACAGGGTTCGGAGGCGCCCGACAGAGAAAGGCAGCTGACAGCCGCAGGGAACTCGATTAGCTTCAGGGGGAGGCGGCTGACAGCCGCAGGAAGGTGGGTGCCCGCGCCAGTATCGCCTGTGTCCAGCCCACGGCCTTGGGGGTGCAGCTAACAACCGCGGTTACAGAAGGGGAAATGTTTCGCCTGGGACATACCGGTGCCCAGCGGGGGCGCAGCTAACAGCCGCAGAGTGATGGGAAATGGTTTCACCTGAGACATCCTGATGCTCGGCCGGAGTGCAGCTGACAGCCGCAGAGCGATGGGGGATTGCTTCGCCTGAGACATGCTGGTCCTCTGGTAGGGTGCAGCTAACAGCCGCAGGATGGTGGGAATTGGCTTCGCCTGAGACATGGTGCTGCTCTGCAAGGGAGCAGCTAACAGCCGCATCGCCGATGAGGGGATCAGGATCCGGTCCTTGCGCTCGATCTTCATCGATGGGAACTGGACCGACCTGCCGCTCGCGGCTAACAGCCACAGGAAGAGGGGGAAGTAGTAAGGCCTGAGACCTGTCGCACACTGGGGAGCGGTTGACAGCTGCTGGATGGTAACTGGAACGTCTGTAGACCGTATGGGGTACGGCTGACGGCCGCAGGATGGTGAGGAAGATTCCGCCTGAGGCTTGCCGATGCACAGTTGGGGTGCGGCACCCAGCCTATGAAGGTTGGAGAATGGCCCGCTTGGGACATGTTGAGAAGGCCAAGCCCGGACCGCACTGATGGGGTACGGCTGACAGCCGCCGGAGCGTAGGATAGGGTTTCGCCTGAGACCGGACATCGCACGATGGGGTGCGGCTAACCGCCGCAGGAGGGAAGGCACCGCACAAGATGTGACGAAGCTCCGCGGGGGTGCAGCTGACAGCCGCAGAAAGGGGAGAAAAGGTTCCGCCTGAGACCAGCCAAAGCGTAGAGGGGGTGCGGCTGACAGCCGCGAGTACTTAGGAGAAGGTTTCGCCTGAGACCATTGCTGGGGTGCGGCTAACAGCAGCAGGACGGTAGGACATGTTGCAGCCTGAGACATGCCGCCGTGCAGCCACTTGGGGAAGCCCAGCGGAGGAGTAACCGGATGCCGCAGTCAGCCACGAACTGGGTGGAGTGGCCAGGATAAGACCGTCGAGCCCGACCCGCAGGGAGGGGTAGGGGACCACAGCCCGTTCCACACCAGTGCAGCAGACAGCCGCAACGGTGTGGAGCGGGCGATGGACACAACAGCCGTGGGAGACGACGGCCGAGACGGGGCCCTGAGGGCAATCATCCAGAAGGAGGGTGGCGAGCCGCCACCGTGGAGCTAGTGGGAGGCACCAGGTGCAGGAGGGCGACCCAAGCGAATCCAGTGGGCCCGCCGGGGGAGGTAGGGCACCAGGACGTGGGGAGGAAACAGCACGGAAGGACCGCCCTGTGGCTGCCAGGCTCTCCCGGGAGGGCAGAGAGGCGCAGCAAATGTGCGGGGCAGCAGGGAGCTGCAAAGTGGCTGCCGCCAGGGCACTCGCAGTGGCAGGGGCCAACGAGGGGCCCAATCCCCAGGCCGCCTATAGCGAGACGGGGGAGGCGGCAGTCATCCAGGGGTAGAGAGGCCGCAAGGGATGCCCCAAAGAGGGGACCTAGTGCCTGGGACGGGCCGACAGCCCCAGCCTGGCGCGCCCAAGGTGGCATTAGCGCGCACAGAGCGTTGCGCGCAGTAGCAGGCCGCCCCCATGGCCCTGAGGGGCGGGTCCCGCGGGGCCCAGTAGGGACGTGCAGCGTCCGAGAGGGCGGCTGCATGGAAGCGACGGAGCGGCCTGCCGGGCCTAGGAGTGTGCCCGGGACAGGCGCATGCTCAGGGTGCCTCTGGGGTCCGCAGTCCTGCTTCGCCTGGCGTCGCTGCCTCCGCGCGATCCTTTGCCTTTAGCTTTACCGGAGTTGTCCGTGAGCCTGATCCTCTCGCGGGTGCGAGCGCGTACCGTTTCCTACTCGACTCCAAATTTGAGTTTTGTGTTCATCGTGAAGACGTTGTACCTGAAGCGGGCCCACTCGCTGAGGAAAGGTGAACAGGACTCCGGCTGTTGGAGCGTAGGGTCGGCGCAGACCCTGCCTGAGTGCGCGGGATACGCGGTCGTCCGCTGATGCCAAAGGCCAGTAAAGTAGTCGCCCAGCTCCCTCTGAAGCCTCTTCACGGTCTCAGCGGGAGCCTCTCCAATGGGGCTCCGGACGACGACTCTGTCGAGGGGAGTATTGTAGACGCGCTGCTTTGTCACAGGGTCGCGAAGGTCGTGTGGGCCGTCGTCTTGGGAACTCCTGGAGTCGCGCTGCTCAGGGGCGGCGTCAGCCTGGGCATCGGCGTACCAGGGCCAGGGAACGGACCGAGGGGTGGGGAGGACGTCGTGCTCGGTGGTGTGTGCCCTTGCGGG